AATAAGTCATGTTCAGAATCTGATTATGAGTCAGGGTATGATTAGAAAACTGGAATAAAGAAAGGTATGATCTTTAGAAAAATCAGGCATCAAATAACCACAACTAAAAAAATAATTGAGGCATATTTAATTTCAGGTTCATGCTACATCTGAAAGAGTTATGAATATTTCTATAGTTCATGAGTTCATGAGTTCATTTCATTGGTAAAATGTTCCTGGATATTAGTTTTACATCGATCCCTAGCAGAAAAGGCCAATTCCCTTATGATATAAGAATTGGAACTGACAGAAGTTTAATTATAAAGTTGCCTAGATTCCTAATATGGATTCCCATTAACCCTTCAATTCCCATAACTGACTAAGACAGAAGTTTTCGCTCCTTATCAGGAAGACAAGAGATGAGAATAAAGAAAAATATCGATAAGGCCTTGGCTAATTATTAGTTGATCCAATACCAAATTCTCTGAACTTATATGATGAGAATTGTATAGCAGAAAGTAAGAAGAATTACAGGATTGGTACTGATGAGATTATGGGAGTGAAAGGGTTAAGTATCCTCAAAGATTTTAGCCGGATTCTGAAGAAACATTCACAGAAGCTACTCAGTATGGAGAATGAACCAACCTCAGAAGCAAATGAAATCAGTGATGGCACATCAAGGTAATCCAACAGGAGGGTTGGTCCTACTCTATGGACTGCTAAGCTTACTTCAGCTTTGGCACTAAATGGAGAAGGAAAATAATTGAAAATTGTAAAAAACACTTTTAGTACACAGAAGTCTGTTTCAATTCTGGCAGGATCAATTCCACAGTTGGCTGGTGCATGTAACAGCAATCACCATCAAGATAATCAAATTTATAAGGGTGTTGTTTGGGAATGGTTTTCGTTCTTGTTTAAGACTGTTAAACTTACTGTCCAATTACTTCTTCATTAGCACTAAACTCATTCCCCTCGTTTAGGAAATCAAAATAATATTGTTACTCAAGACATTCTTAAAAACACAGCAAATGAATGGAATGAAAATATTGACCTTTCATGTTTGGCTGAATCCAGCTGGTATCAACTGAATGATAAATAAACATTACAAATGCACATGATCAGGGTTGTAGCGATAAAATTACTCTGCCGGCTGAAAGTTCAAGTGAAGCTGCTCAAAGATGGCGAACAATTGTAAGTGTGTAACATTGGAAGTGCCTGTTGTGCTTTACCAAGCATTCACCAGCCAAAAATCCAGCCAGCAATTGCTGCTTTTTCATCTAGTGAATTTTGCTGGCAGCTGGCACTTGTAGCTACAACCCTGCATGGTTGGCCTGACTGATTAAACATTAATTTCTTATAGCCAAATCAAGTGTCAATATGATGGGGTCTTAATTGCACCAATAAAATCATACGTATGATGCATGATCCTCGCAGTAGAGAGTGCTATTTATGCAATAGCGAAAATCAGACCTGAAAAAAATCAGGCCTGTACGGGATTCGAACCACTGACCTCTGCGATACAAGTGCAGCGCAGAGGTCAGTGGTTTGAATCCTGTACAGGCCTGATTTCTTTCAGGTCTGATTTTCGCTATTGCATAAATAGCGCTCTCTACTGCGAGGATCATGCATCATACGTATCTACAACCGCAGTTCAAAATATATGAACTTCATATATTCATTGTATCTAATAAAATCAAAATTAACATACCTGTATGGTATTTTAAGTAATTTCTTGATGTTCTATGATGATAAGAGCAAAAGGAAAAAATATAGAGAAGAATCAAAGATATGCATACACTAAAACAAAGTGTAAATCACCAAGTTTGACAGCCATTATATGCAGGCTCTTTTGTGTACATACATCTATGATCATGGAGTAGTGATGTCAAAAGGAGTAGGAATTAGTAGTTATATTATTAATAATTATTAATAATGTGGCAAACAAGGCCACTGGGTATAAAAGTAGGAAACCAGACAGAGAGCAGATGAGGGGAAGGAAACCAGCATAGCAATCATACATCACAAAAATAATCCTGCTCTTAGAGAAACTAGATTAGTGTTTGACCCTACAATAAATCAACACCAAGGACGTTGCCATTGAACTAACAAGTTGCAAACTTAACAAAATAAGAAAAATTTACCTCAGCATCAGATATCACATCAACATCTCCAATAGTATCAACAAAGCTGTGTGCCATACCAAAACTGTGATTTAAGATAAACATTTTAATCATTTTGGGTAAACCTTAATAACATCACAGCTTTTTTAATTCCCTTTTACCAATACAAACTGCATTCCTAAATAAATAATGCAAATATATCAAACAATGTTTCCCAGTAAAAATGAAATACGATAATAAAGAAAAATCAAATGTTAAGACAGAGGATAAAGCAATAAATGAAACCAAAAGAAAAACTCTTTGCCATGGACCAACTTATGAGTACTTTTTGTAGTTAGTAGGCTCTAAAGGAAAGAACACCATTTCATAGTGCAAGTACATGCCTGTCTGTGAGTGCTTTGACAGTGACTTGCCAGTACCTGGAACTTTCTGTCTTTGCAACATTGTGTGACAAGAAGTTTCTTTACTTGTAAATGAGATGCTGACCCTTAGCATCGACACTAAATTCTATGATCAGGGCTCAACACTAACGGTACCCACAGACTTTGTCTAGTAGAAATTCAGTTTTGGCCGGTGGTTTTCAATTTCCACGGCCAGTTTGGCCAGTAAACAAACTGAAATTGTTGTAACATCCAAGTTGTGACTGGCAACTTGGCTAGTAAGTTGAAAAGTTAGTGTCGAGCCCTAATGATGAAAGCTATTAGCAAAATTCTCAAACAGCACACTGTTACACACTTCAGCAAGTTAATAATAAAAATAACAATACTTGACATTTATAGATTGCCCTTTCCCATGGGTCCAAATGTGCTATTTACAAAGTCACAATTCAAAATAGTTTAAAATAATTAAAATTAGTCAGTTAAGATTATAAAACACGCTACAAGTTAAGGGTCATTTTTTTATGAAAAAGTATACATGTTTATAAGGCTAGTTTGTTTCTCAATTCATATTGATCATAGTTTTGATTAGTTGGTAACAGGACTTTGTGTCGATCATCTAATTCTGCCTGTAATTAATCTCTTGCTCCCCACTCATTTGATTTTGTTAATCAATCACTTGAGTGATCACATACTGAATTGGACTCTAACCAATCGTATTAACATTACCTATCATCTGTGTCATAATGGCAACTGACTAGAAGCTCTTGACAACCTTCACCTACAAAGCTATTTTGTTTCAGCATGTTATGAGGTTTACATCTCCACATTTCACCTCCACTTTTTCAAATACACTTTCAAAGATGTTCCACATTAATTATTCAAAACAAGACATGCACAAGGACATCAGAAAGTTATAGGTTAAGTATATTTTATTAACTAAGTATCATGATGCATTGAAGTGCAATGACAACATTTGTACCTAATTTTAAATACAACTGAATGTCATTAGCTTCCTCTTGAAAGATTTGATTACCTTGTAAACTCAACAGGGTCCCTTTTGAGAAAACTGAGATCAGAAAATCTTCCATCTCGCAGCCAGTTTGAAGGGGCAACATTGAGGTTTGTGTCCTAACAGTAAAAAAAAAAGGCTGCAATCAGTTACTGTGAAAGTTTCTTCAGTGATAATACACCGTCCATCCTCATCAAGTGTGATGAGTACTCCAAAGCTGTGCTCTAGGAAAAATTGAAGGGAGCCCATTGCTCTGAAACTGTGAAATCCAGGGTGCCCAGCATATGCTCTTTATGAAAAAAACTAAGATTCCTGAGTCGTTCAAGAGCAAAAGTAAGGTGCCAGGGGCCACCAGGCGCTGCTAGAGCACAGCCCTAGTACTCTGAAACTGTTGATCTGTTGTGTTTGTCTGGGTGAGGCTCATTCTAAAAAGGATTGTCCTCTAAATGTAATTAAAAATTTAACCCTTTAACTCCCATAAGTAATTAAAATGTAACTTCTTGCTGTAATATCCATAAATTATCCAGCAAACGATGAGAATACTCAAGCTTATCAAGTAGAAGTTGTTACCTTGATCTAACACCAAATTCTCATAATTAATTAACAGAGAAATGCTAGAGAGGAGAAATTCAGATCAGATCTTGGGACAAAGATATTTGCTGCAAATTGAGGCACTTCTTTGGTAGAGTGACAAGGGTAGCCTGAACATTACATGCTATGATTCACTAATTAAAATATAAAAAAAATTCACTGTTACTGATTCTAAACAATATTTTTCTCACCTGTTGCAATTTGTTATAATAGGGCAAGCCTCCTTGAGCAGAGTACTTCACAATTGCTGTTGAGCTGACCTCTCCTATGGCTGATTTCTAGGCATAAAAAAAAATTCAAAAAAAAAAAAAATCCAAATAGCTAATTAAAATTGTTTCATCCCAGCCCTTTCGCATTTTCGCTAAAAAATTCCCATTTTAAGAAATTACAGACTGAAACAATGCATGCACATGCTAGTTTGGAGAACTTGGTAATAGTCAACTAATAATCCCCTAATTACTATTTTTCTTTATTCTCATCACTTGTCTGTTTGATCTTGTGATGGTATTGTACAAAAGAATTCTGTCTTACATAGGTAGTCAATCATGGGAATTAGTTGTAGGGTTAAAGATTTCTGTAAGTTTATTGTCAAATCCAGTTTCAGTTGTTCAAAAAATTTCCTGTTTCATGTCTTTTGCCATAGTTTTCATTTCTGATTGAATTCCCAAGGTTTTTTTTTTCTGATTTGCAATATATAGTGCTGTTTGCCTCCCATCTAATTTTGGGAAAGTAGATTGACTCTCTAAGTACTTCCTGTTATTGGCCAGTAACTTTGTAGCAAATTTCTCTGGTCTGGTGACAAAACTTAAACCAAATACATGATCTTTAAAACTTTTTGATAAACTTGAGCACATCATATATATATTTTAGTCATTTCTTGGCTCCATATCAACAATTTTGACAACAAAAATGCCATGGTAAAACAATGAGCTAAATCTAGATAATGCAAGGCCTACTTTGAAAGATTTTTTCGAACATACACGGAACTTCTGGGTGGAGAACTAGACGCAAGAGGACCTCTTAAACTAAGTAACCGTTACTGTTAGTAATAGTATGCACGAAAAACTAAATGCAATTACAAGATGTAATTCCAAAATTCTAGAGATAGCTTTAATATTTATAATCCTCTTAATAAGTCCTCGCTATTTACATAGTAAGTACTAACTATGCTATTTAAACGGAATTACTTGTGCACGGCCATGTGGTGTAAATCTAGAAACAAGGCCAACTGAATGTTTGTTAACTGACAGTACAGTGCACAGGTTAACTCAGGACTTCAAAAGTAAACCAGACACAAGATTTTGCAACCTGTGTTACAAATTGACAAATTTCCCTTTCTTACACCTGAGAACTACGGATATCGTAGGTTCTTCGAGCTTCAATGTTGGTCGTAAATTTTAGGTGACGTAAGAACTAAAATAACGTACTACAGTGGAACCTCGATTTAACGAACCTCTATATAACGAACGATACTTCAGTTTCAGCCCGGCTAAAGTTACAGTAAAATGTATGCCACAGTGACCAACACAAAAGCTACGGCTACTTTGGTCACTGTGCACACATATACAAATAAAACTTGCATGATATCTACTTCTCATTATCTTCTTCACCTAGTTATATAAGTCATCTTATACTGTATCAATTTGAATAGTGCGAAATAAACTTGGAAACTTGGAACCACGATATAACGAACTTTCGATGTAACGAACCAAATTTCCCAAGTCCCTTGTCACTTAGTTAAATCGAGGTTCCACTGCATAAACCTACCGACTTATTCCCTTCCGGAGATTGCAGTTCGGTCAAGACACTCTTTTCTGGTATTATAACTTTATCTGACTTATTCCCGTCCATTTCATTTTCCCTTCCAATCTCCCACAGCTTTTCCTTGCAAGATGAAAAGTCGTCTTTCCAAGAAGAAGTAGACAACCGCCATGATGGATTTTATTCCCAAAAAAACTGGCGTCTAATCAACAACACGTTATAATTCAGTAGTAGGAGGACTGGAAACTGGTCGAAAATGAAAAGCGCGCATTGGCTGAAATTCAAAGTAAAAAGTGCTTTCGATATTCCACAATTTGTCCTAAATTTTTCCATCTTTTCACTTCTAGAATCCCCGGGGAAATTGTTCTCTTTTCAATTCTCTCGAGAGCGAACTCCTCGAGAGCGAACTTACTCGAGTAAGCGAGGAATGAAAATAAAAGGTAAAATTAAACGGACGCGATTCATGAGAATTTGCCTTAGTTTGGAGTTGTATTTTACATTTTTAAGGAAAACGGTTGGAAAAAAGATATGAAAATTTCGTCGTGGTTGCACTTAAAGCTCGCCTTGTTAAACTCTTTTTCTCGAGTTTGTCATGTTAGACTCGGATGTCTATGGATTTTATTCCGTGACTGTAAAACTTAAAAATTCGCCACCCACCTCACAGCATTTTAGTTTCACTAATAACTTTTAAAATTGCGAAGTAATAGAACCCGAATCGACTTCACTCACGGTCATTACCATCAGAAAGATTCTATTTATTATCATCATCTTTATTTTATAAGTACGAGGGAAATTTCTGCTCTAGGGTTTATAATATCAATCTGTTAGAGTTAGACTTGCCTCATTTATCGCATGTTCTGTTTCGCTGGAGTATGAAACATAAGAAAGTCTGGCTTTCGTTTACGAGCTTTTGACAAAAAAAATCGCAAATAATGTGAGAATCCGAAGGCATTTGTCATACTGCCAAACCATCATGTTTATATGGGACATCTATTGAAACACTAGCCTGCAGATAACTTCTCCGAAATTTTACTGTCATATTATCACATAACACAAGTGTTCTATAATAGATGAAACTGATGCTTTCTTTAATTTAGGTTGTGGGTGAACTTGGCAAAAGTTCCGAGTTTCATGAGATAAATATTGACCAAGATAGTAGCAAACAGTAATGCCCACCTACCCCTAGAAAAAAAAAAAGAAAAATTAATGTACACCAATGAATTAATTTTTATTTTAGAAACTAATTTGTAAATCTCCTTGTGCTCCGAGAATCTTGAAATAGATTAATCATCAAAAGTGGAATAGACAAGCGACAAGCATCATTTAACTAATTTTGTGGTAAAATTTAACTCTTCAGCCTAGATGCAAACTTTACTACGAATTTTTGTCTCCTAAAATTAAAAATAGGATTCGCATCATCGAAAGCTCTGAACTCGATGGAACTAATGTTAACTGTGTTTTGAACAAGAATAATTCATTATTCAAACAAGTTACGCAAAGTAAAACAGGTTCCTAAAATTAGTTTCCACGACAACGTTTATTAAAAATTGTGAGGAAAAGTATGCCTTTGGCTGTAAAAACCACAATCTGAGTAATGTATACTTCTTTCTATGTTTTAAAAACTGTCAACGAGCAAAGAAAGCTTAAAATTGAGGAATTCGAAAACACGCGCCGTGAGCTATTAAAATGCCATCCGCCTCTCTAAGAATACACACCATGTGTCTTCAAGAATATTTTGCTTTAAACGTGTAGTACGATTTACGGTCTCGTTTGTGGAGTTTTATTCGCTAGCTATGTGAAATCTGAATGCAATTCTGAGACTTTCCACTATCAACAAAGTAAACATATCGTATTTTCTTAAAATGGCTGTTTTTAAATCATCTGTCACAGGTATTATTACGACATATGCTTTTCCCTTCGTAAAAATTAAAATACCTTACAAAAATTCTCATACCCTCAGTTTTGCCTTCAACAAATGTTAACTGACTGATGAAGAAGCGTACTGTGTCCTTGAAAATTGAGGAAGAGTCATGATTTGTTCGCTTGCAAACCGGAAAATTATTATTCCAACAAAACACAAGTTTGACCGGCACAGACCAAGGCTTGTTCCAGTATTGCTGGGGAATATTTCCTCAATTTTCCTGAATCGTCGACGAAAATTTCAAGCTTATTTTGATTTTAGTTCTCAATCTCCACAGGAAATCTCGCAGAAACATTTTCTTCAAAGTGAGAAAGCTCGACGGAAGTCACGATGAAAAGGCCAACAGTTAAAATTTGCTAAATTTTTGTTGTTGGTAATATATGCCAAGATGTCAAAGACACCTGTTCATGCCCAAGTTGTAGCTTAGACGGACAGAAATTGTGTTTTTCAGATAAGATTTTAAACTTGTCATGTTTGGTATTGGTCAAAATAATTTTCAGAAAAAAACAGTGGAAATATACTGAGACTACGAGATAAGCGTTTGTTTTTGTGTTTGCAATATTTTCCTGTCGTGCATCAACAGATTTAGTTTCAGAAGATAACCATGAATATCAAGTGATATCTGAATGAAAGAGATATGGTGACAGACGTCTGAATACTTAACACGTCTTAATTAACAAGCCTTTGAAATGATTTCCTATTCAAACATTTTACAGCGTACATGATTTACAGTCCAGCGCGAAAATGATGAAGCTTCAAGAAGTGGTATTGGTAATCATTATTTCGTGTGTTGTCTTTCAATTACTGGGTCATTCGTCAACGTTTTTATTACGGACTAGCTACAGCGGGGATATTGAATTTAACGGGGAAACTAAACGGAATACGAAATATTGTTTGAATTAACTCAACTTTGTCAAACACGCCCCGAAAAGGCAATTTTTTTTTGGTCTTTGCTGAATTAAATTCACGGTTTTTGTTAAATAACAACAGAACTCGATCAGACAAAATCGGCGAGAGTTTTAAATATTGTGGGCGATGATAAATGTACTGAGCCCAAAGAATTTTAATTCCTCAAGATTCAAGACAAATTTTAAAATTTAATTAATCCTATAAATGAGTTTGCATTCACAAGGCGTTAGATTTCCAGTTTTAAATCGCGGAAATTGTATTAGCACGTAAGTAGGTCCTCTCGATTATGGAATAAAAAATCTTATTTGTACTTTTTGTCTTGTTTGGAAATGCATTTTCTTATCAATATGGATCTAACATATCCTTTTCGTTTTGAAATCTGATATTTTTCTTTTACTGCCAATAAATGTTTCCCCCCAAAGTACACATATGATACTTTAAAACTGAATATCGAAATCTTGTGTTCTGTTGATAATTTAAGACAGAATTTTATAAAGTCAACAATTTTTCTAGTTTCAACTATCCGCAACGTTCGATATTCACCGCTGGATTCCAACTCAAATGAACTACTAAGTTTAAATGTACTGCATAAAAGTACCTTTTAATGAAAGTTCGCAGTTTTGCTTCGAAAAGATAGAAATAGGAGAACGAGTCAGCAAAGTTCAAAAGTGAATGTTTACTTTGAAAATATGAAAGTACTGTAGGTTCTTCTGTATTATTACCTCACGCAGTTCAGTTCAGTTAGTTAGCGGGAATAATAGCACAGCGGGAATTTCACCGCTAACAATGTTAGATTTGCACCACATAAATCGCCTTTGTCTTTGAAGCATGGAGAAACGAAAACAATGATGGAAGGGTTATTGAGTATTTGGAGACAAACTGGCGACGGACCATTATGCGAAAAATAAACAAATGTTCAATCGATATCATGGGTCGTATATGGTGCTCATTAAACCGATTGTAGACATGCTTCACAAAAACATCTTGCTTTTCACAGGAAAACCACTCTCCCAAGAAGCCGGACTAACGAAGAAAAGTGGTCGAAGATAGATTAGGAATATCATCCTCCACGATGGGAAATGGTCAGATAAATCTGCTGACGCGAAAGCGGCTCGTAAATGCCTTTGAAATGACAAGAAAAGATTTCCACACAAAAGGCCACTAACAGCGAACTGTAATAAAGTTAGGTAGAGCTATTATGCCGGTCCGTCCAATAGGCGGGCCCAATGCTTTTAAGGGCACTTATAACACCCTAGCGAGAGAGAAATAAATATTTCCAAGAGAAAATGCTTTAGTATTTGCATTTTTATTGCGACTCAATAGGTGCTGTGATCGTCTTTTCCGAAACTAGTAAAGACCGAGTGGTTCTTCCTATGAAAAATGTGGGCAATCGGCATATTTCTCTGAGCTGTTTTGGCGCGTGAAAATACGATCTATTATGCGCAAGGAGAATTTGTTTGCGGATTTACCGATAAGAGCCTAAAAATTAAAGCCCACAAGTAGCAGGTGTTGCACAGTTATTTTCATATGTGCAGTTTATAAATTATTCAATATGTTTGCAGGTTTCCAGACCTGACGATTTTTGATTGGTTGGAAACCGCATCATCCGAGCTCAAAACAATGCCAGATCTATCTTCAGTCCCCATGACATGGAGTTGTTAAAAGATTACGCGCTCACAAAGTTGCTATAAAATGAAAGAATACAAAGGCAACTCATTCAGTTATACACAGTGTAGCTTGGCTGAAGGTCGGCGCTTAAATCGGGGGAAAGTTTCTTGCTTAGGAAAACCTTGTTGGTTAGTGTCGTAACTTTGACAGATAACACTTACACTACAAATTCTTGCTACGATGCCAAGAGCCTTTCTGCTAAAGAGAAATTTCGATGACGGCAATTATTTTGGCGAGGGAAACCTTTCTTTCGTTCAATACGGTTAGTTTTTTTGTTTCCTTTTGAATCAAAATCTTTTACAACTATTTGTTAGAGTGCCTTAATTCGAAATGTCTCAAAATAGAAGCGTCTCTATGTAAACACGTCAGACAGCCACTTTCGTGTTGCAGCCGTGTGTTCATTTTAAGATTTGACTGAAGTATCATTTATGTTGTATTTTTAATTCACAGGGGAGGAGAAAGCCGCCAGTGAGGATTATTCAGATGTCAGGCGAAGCAAGAGGCCGGCAAAAATAAAGAAGGAAGAGGAAGTTGAATTTTTCGGTGCGTTTCAAAAGAAAAAGAAATCGTCTTACCCAGCCGATGTCCGAATTGATGGCCGAGTGAATGATATGGGAAAGATTCTGAGGTTTGCAAATGATTTCATTAATAATGGAAAGAAAATGTCGGGGCAAAATGCTCAAAAAAGCAGTCTTCAGGAAGTCTCTTTTTTCGACGGGCAAGGAATTTTTCGGGGAAATGAAGAAATGGAGAAGAAATCCAACGCATTCGTCAAACACTTCAACAAAGACATTGACTCGTCCTCGGGCGAAGCCAAGCGGGTGTCTGCTTCAGCGCTCAAGAAAGGTTCTAATGTGAATAAAGCAAATGAACTAAATGATACAGGCGCTAAGAGTCGCTCAGATAAGGTCGTCCACAAATGCAACCAGTGCGGCAAAATTTTTAAGACCAAATACACCTTGTCCATCCACTTAAAAATGCCAGATCACACTCAGAGTCGGCCATTTGTTTGCAACGTTTGCGGAAAAGGTTTCCGTCTGTCCAGCACCTTGTGCAGGCACAAGATTATTCACACAGAGAAAAAACCGCATAAATGCGACGAATGTGGAAAGAGTTTTAACCGTTCTTCCACGCTCAAGACTCATCTTCGAACACACAGCGACAAGAAAGCTTTCATCTGCGACATTTGTGGAAAAGGATTTCATCAGAAGGGAAATTTGCGAAACCATATAATGATTCACACGGGAGAGAAGCCATTTCGTTGCAACCAGTGTAATCGCGCTTTCAACAAGATGTCTAATCTAAAGTTTCATATGCATACCCATTCTGACAACTTGCCGTACCACTGTCGAACTTGTCGAAAGCGATTTTCAAAAAAGATTGATCTGAAAGAACACGTTGAAGAAGCTCACTGAGAAGATCTAAGAGAAGAAACCACAAGAACTTTCACGAGACTGAAATAAACTTTATTGCACGCGATTCCCCCAAAGCTTAAATAAAATTTCATAGGTTTTAACTGATTGCTTTGTAATTTTCACTCGCGCGAGAAAGAACGTACGTAGCCATTTTTGAACACATTTTATCTTGAGAAAATTAAATGTTTGCACTTAATCCTAACAAGATCAGCAGTAATTAACGAAACTTGGAGAACGACAGGCTAGAAGTGAGTTTACCAACTCCACAATGTTGGTTTAAATTGCGAAAAATTCGCTTGTATAGAAATTCAAATCAATTGCTCAAAATTCATCCAAATTGCGTTCTTTATTGTCCTTTTTATACTTATTGAGCACGAAAGCGAAGATCTCGCGAAAAGGAATAATTCTACTCATGCGAAGAGTAGTAACTATAACCAGGCAATATAAGTGAAATTTTTAACAATATTTTCGCACCTAATTTTGTTAACACTATCAGTAATAGCATAATATGTACATCGAAGTCAAATAAATAAACGCATGTCAAAAAATTATCATTTGCCGCCTACAGGTATTTAAGCCTTGAAAATTAATATACATCTCACTTTTTTCCCTTCGTCTGGTTAAATCCCTATTTTAATTAGCTTCCTGTGTTTAACATTACTTCATCTTAAGACTCGATACTGCTAAACATCGCTGAGATAGTTTTCAGTTCTTCCTTTGTTTAATTCCGTTGAATAAACTCTGGCAGGTGAATTTCATGTTGGGAAGTAATTGAATGAGAGAAGGACCGGAAACTTGCTTTGAAAACCCTTTTCTTTCTCTATTGTTTGAAGTGTGCCTCTCTTGATTAACTGTTCAGAGTTTATTAGGGTCTCCACGCGACAAAAAATTGGACTCTGTGAGGGGTGAATTGATGGATAAAAGGACCCGCGCGTGCTATATAACTTCTCTTTTCATTGTAGTCAAAATGCCACCCGCCAAGAGCTTGTGTTGTATTATTTAGAGCGAGTGATTGTGTTGGAATACATTACAATAATTGGAACTTCCCAAAATTGTTATGGGTGGTACTAAAAGGATATCACATCACGGCAATTAAATTCCCCACGGGAAACTCATTTTGAATGCTTGGCGTCCTTTGGTAAGCCCATCCTTAACCAATGTCACCAAAAGCAAAGAAGCCACCGACACAACGAGCTAAGTTTCAAGTTCACGGTTAGCTTTTTTTCTTAGAGAATAAATATGTGAGCATCTGTGACGGCTATCGAGTTGTCAAAGTAAGTCTGAAATTATTACATGGTCAAAGAACGCGAGGAGTTGAAATAGAACTTTGGGAGCAGAGGGCAAGTTTTTTAATGTCAGATTTACTGCGTTTTGTATCAATACCGAATTTCGCTCTTTCCCTTCAAACCTCAGGGTCAAACTACAAAAAACAACACTCTTTTACTGTTGGGAATACATGTGAATTCATAGCAAATATTGATTCAAAATTTGACAGTTCGTAAACACTGAACGAGTTAACCTTAAATTGACTTAAATTCTACGAGATATAATTGAAACTTTAGTGGTCAATCGGTGTACGTGTTTGAAAGTATGTAAAGACAAGAAGAGACGAAGAAGTCCTCTCTCTTGCAAATGCTAATTCGATCGGCTGTTCCAATTTTTACTCAATTTTATTACCTGTAAATTCTAATCTTTGGTATTTTTTCGTATGTTCCGTTGAAAAATCGAACCAAAATTACGAGCAATCGAGATAAAGGTTTAAGCGACTTAATTTAATTTTCTTTCCTCCTCATTAAAATTTTAAGAGGCTGATTGCACAATCTTAGATATCTTAGGATAGTAGGCGGTTTACGGGAAAAGGAACTAATTTTTAGCGCATTTATTTTTTAAAACTTCCTTTTCAGTGACAAAAAAGGAATGTACAGAAGTTAAGAATTTAATCAATAAGCGAGAGATTTGGACACAGAAAGTATCATTCAAACACAAAGATAAGTTCTAACCATTAGCGACTCTGTATGAGTTTAAGTGTGTATGAATATATCACTTTGTTTCAAAAAAGGAATCTTACGTGAGAAGTGAAAAGCTTTGTTTTTCTAGAATGCCGCAAGGAAAGGGGACTTCTTTAAAAGCTTTTTCATTTTATGCCATATAGATAAATTTGAATTGGAAACCGGCTATTAACTTGAAGATCCTTATGCGCTGTAAAGAACAGTTGGTGGCTCTCGATCAAGCTTGGGTTGATCAATTGAATTGAAAATTGAATCAGCACAATTATAAAAGAACAACAAGCGCGTCTGGTAGCAATACAAGTTTTGTTTTTGCTAATTTATGAGTTGTGCTTGTGATAATTGTGTGAATTCTGACTGTTCATGGTCTCCTGCTGTTAGGATAATAAGAGTTGTAAAGCGTCCCGCCAACACGAGCGTGTGTCGCTCACCTTGAATTAACTCGCTGGATCTAGAATTGATTTTTTTGTCCCATTCTTTAAAATATGCTTTACATATTCTCTTTGAACTGACGATTTAGTTAAGCGTAAA